TTTTTTTTTTTTTTTTTTTTGGGGGGGGGGGGGGGGGGGGGGGGGGGGGAGAGACGTGTTGAAATGTTCCCATTCTGGTTTTGTTACACACACACACACAGAAATACACAGTACAAACACACACACAGTGATGAGACTGACAGGCTTCTGAATTATACAACAGATTCATACATTAAGCATTTAAGTGCAGCGATGCAACATTTAAGACTCCATTTGATAAAAATGATGACACACACACACACAAACACACACACACACAGGCAGCCTTGTCCACCTGCTGAGGTTTGAGAAACGTCTGGAGCCGAACTAAAGTGCTCGTACACAAGTTTTCCTGTTGCATAGTCCCCTCTGAAACCATTTGACCCAGACAACAACATCCCATTGTTCAACAGCTGAAACACACATCTGTTGGCATGAAATTAAAACATCAGATTATCAACCGTTTACGTTTCTCAGGCCACAAAGATGTTGGATTATGTTTCCACCCACAGTCCACAAACTGAATAATTAAAGGTTTATACACACTGTAGGTGTGTATGAACGCTCACACCCTGCTACTTCTCAGCCATGTAATCTGACGGTGAGGAAACAAACCTTTCCCAAAACCAGATGTGACGCAGGGCGTGAGCCGGACTACAGCAAGTCCAGTTGTTCTGGACACTCCCTGCAGGATGAAACGTCCCGAGGATGACCACACAACCGCTCCTTTAGCCTCCATGCAAAAAAATGTAAATAAAAAGCCGAATGTGTCTTTGGTTTTAAACCACCGAAACAAAGCAGACAATTATGTTTGAACCGCTGCATAATCTTTGTGAAATATCACGTCCCCGATTCGGACCGGAGCGCCGACAGACGGTGCGCCTCGACTTCAGTGCAACAACTTAAACACACGTTAGCAGATTCAAAATATCCACCTTCAATTTCAGACAGTTCACAGCAACAAACGATTACGGTTCATCGAATGCCAAGAGGTTTACTGTATACTAGACAGTACACACTGCTTTGTGTATTTTATTCGTACTCAAACAAACATCTGCTTTTTTTTTCCTCTCCATCTTTTTCAGATCAAGTCTTGGTTAAAACAGTAACAGTAGTTCGAGGGAGACTAATGCAACTGAGATATGTACAATATACATGATATAAACCTGTTTTAACCTTTCTGTTATTCTCACTGCAGGACAACATGACAGGTACATAGTTTTTCTTTTAACTTCCAACATTTAGCTGCTAAAAACATCTACAATCAATCAATTAAATGGTCAATGGGACATGTGGACATTAATTAAAAGTGACATCCAGGCAGCAGAAATGTACCTTAAGTTTACAGTTTTAACGTCTTGCAAAATGTCAGATTAGTGATGAGCGACCAGCGAAACGAGCTTTTAATAAAGCACAACTTGTAAATAGCTGCAGGACAAACTGCGGCTCTGCTAAAGAAGAGGTAAAAACATGCATGAAGGCAAGCGTCGTTTCCATTTCTCTTCAGGTATTCAGTCATTTCCTTCTAACTGGTCCAATTAGTGCAAAAACACAAGTTACAATGAACTTTTTGTCTCATTTCTCATTGTTGCCATTTAAACATTTTCTTTTTGAGACTAGAAATGATCCAGTGAGCTGAAGCAGCTTTGGCTTTGAACCAGTTTTTTTTAGCAGTTATTTATAATCCTTTTTAAAACTGGACATTTTTACCGTCAGAGGAGAGCTCTTGTACATGTGTTAAAAGTATAGCTCCGGTGCTTTCGAGATCAGATTTGGCGATTTTGACAGAAAATTTGTTGTACAAATTTTTTTTTGAACACGTTTAAAATTCAAGCGACAAAACTGCGAAACGTTGCAACTCAAGCGAGGAAATGGGAGCTGCAGGAAGAGAAGCCACCACCGTCCAGATATGATCACAGTAAACTGCTTTTCTGAGCGACTGATAAAAATTCTTTGAAACATTTATCCAAATGTTAAAATGTGGAGGACAGTGTAGTTTAAATGTACCAAAATTAGCCGATTTTCAAAATGAAACACTTCAGCTACACTCCGTTTAAAAAGCTGAGGGGCATAGCTGCAAGAAAAAAAAAAAAAAAAACAGAACTTCTGCTTTTTTCCTGGACAAGACTTATTTTGTAGGAGCTGTGGTAGCTTGGTGGTCTGTGTCACGGTCTTGTAATCCTGAGGCTGCAGGTTCAAGCCCGGGTTGTGTCAGGAAGGGCATCCGGAATAAAACAAATGGGCAAATCTTTCATGCGAGTTTGCTCGCTGTCCCTGAAGGGAGCAGCCGAAAGAAACTTTTTTTTTTTTCTCGATTGTTTTGTAGATTAGGACTCTCCTTTAAGTGAAATAAAGTAATATTACAGTGACATTTCACAACCAGCAGCAACACCACCATTTTAGCTTTTATAAGCAAAGTCTGGACAAGTACCAATGAAAAAAAAATGAAATTAAGCTTCACAATATCAACAGCTGTACAATCACATTTTACAACATTTCCCCACAAAAAGCTCCTTCGTTAGCTTGGAGTGGAATATTTTACACTGAGCAAATGAAACTTCAGAGCTTCAGGTCCAGTGGAAGTGCACAGTAAAAACAAATATCCATCGCTGCACTCGTCCTCCTCATTACTACTTCATTCAAGAGAAACAAATCTGCACAACGTTCCTTTCAGTCACAACTCTTCACCTCTTGTGGCTTTTGTCTTTGGATTAATAAAACATTTCTATAAAAAATAATAATAAAAAAACTTTCTACATGATACCTTTGTTTGACCCCAGGTTTCCACCATATAATTAATAGTAGTTTAGATATAAAACTAAAAATTAAATAAAACATTATATGCAATTAAGTTGTTAAAAAGGAAATTCTGTTTGAGCCACTGCAGCCTTTGCTTTTATAAACTGCTGCAGCTTTGTACAGATAGTTAAACTGTGCTGCTTGTTAAAAGTTGCTCCTTTCAGAGGCTGATCAGGGATCAGTGCCCTGTGCCTGTTTCTGTGTCAAGAGTCTGTGCTTGTTCTTTGAGCAAAGGGAGTCTAAAAAAATATAACTTCCTCCTTATTCAGGTCTTCTGTAGGGATGGTGTAAGGAGGCGATTTGCTGTGGCTGAGCCCGTGAACGTTCTGCACGTGGGGCTGGAACTGAGGGGGATCAGTGCTCTGAGGGTGCGGAGGAATGGAGGGTGGAGGATGGGGATGCGTGGTCGGCATGGGGGGCTTCTGCGCATGAGGAGGGTGGGAGGAGCTGACGGAGGAGGTGAGCTGAGTGTCTAGTCCGGTGCTGTCTGGAGGACTCAGCTGATCTGTCAGGAACAGAAAGGAGAAGCCATCAGAGAACAAAGGATCACTTCAGACATGACAAACAGAATATTAGTGAGCAGCTGCTGCTCTGATCTGTTGGATTATTTATCCAAGCTGCAATCAATCACACAAACTCTCTCACCGATGGTTTTTGTGTCATTGGTAAATGTACGAGAACGAGATTAAAACGTCTTTCGGCAGCAGAGCCGGCCATTAATCAAAGGGAGGCGTGTGAAATTGATAGGTGTTTACACAGGGCGAGGCCAGCGTGAAGCTCCAGAGAGGAATGTCATGGGGTGGAGTCAGCTAGGCCCAGGTGAGGAATGTAAAGTCGAGTTTGTGTTCGTGGGAACCAATACTAACAGGAGTACTGCATACAGAACATTACACGCCCATCAACCATTATTCATCCATCTATTTCAATGGTGTGGACAAGTGAAGACCTTGTATAACCTTTGACCCCGATTTGTGACCTGGACCTTGAAGCTGGGGTGATGAAATGTGAACATGGTGCCCCTTTTTAGTGACGATACATATGGCATAAGTTTATTTTCATATGCAGAATCAACACAAGGTCAACAGTGCAATGAAATGCTCAGGACGAGAAGAACCGTCGACTCGCAACCCCCCCCCCCCGACAATACCAAAGCATGCAACAAAAATAAGGCACCAAATGTGCAAAAGAAATACATCTGCAGCAGCATGGTCCCATTAGCAGAGTGGTCCTATTAGCAATGAGGTTTTCTTAGCAATATGGTCCTGTTAGCAACATGGTCCTGGTAGCAGCATGGTCCTGTTAGCGGTGAGGTTCTATTAGCAACATGGTACTGTTAGTAATGTGGTACCGTTAGCAGCATGGTCCTGTTAGCAGCATGGTCCTGTTAGCAACATGGTCCTGTTAGCGGTGAGGTTCTCTTAGCAACATGGTCCTGTTAGCCGTGAGGTTCTCTTAGCAACATGGTCCAGTTAGCACCATGGTCCTATTAGCGGTGAGGTTCTCTTAGCAACATGGTACTGTTAGCAACATGGTCCTGTTAGCAACATGGTCCTGTTAGCGGTGAGGTTCTCTTAGCAACATGGTCCTGTTAGTAACATGGTCTAGTTATCAGCATGGTCCTGTTAGCAACATGATCCTGTTAGCAACATGATCCTGTTAGCAACATGGTCCTGTTAGCGGTGAGGTTCTCTTAGCAACATGGAACTGTTAGTAACGTGGTCCAGTTAGCAGCATGGTCCTGTTAGCGATGAGGTTTTCTTAGCAACATGGTACTGTTAGTAACGTGGTCCAGTTAGTAACGTGGTCCAGTTAGCAGCATGGTCCAGTTAGCAGCATGGTCCTGTTAGCAGCATGGTCCTGTTAGCAGCATGGTCCTGTTAGCAACATGGTCCTGTTAGCAACATGGTCCTGTTAGCAACATGGTCCTGTTAGCAGTGAGGTTCTCTTAGCAACATGGTACTGTTAGCAACATGGTTCAGTTAGCAACATGGTCCTGTTAGCAGTGAGGTTCTCTTAGCAACATGGTACTGTTAGCAACATGGTTCAGTTAGCAACATGGTCTGGTTAGCAACAAGGTACTGTTGTTAGCAGCATGGCACTGTTAGCAGCATAGTACTGTTAGCAATGTGGTTCTGTTAGCAGTGTGGTCCGGTTAGCAGCATGATGATAACGACTGCGGCAACGACGATGACTGCCCTCCAGAACTGGGTCCGGCTGACAGAACATCCAAGGTTTCCCGTGAAACCAAACTGTTCCCTAGAGTTTGGTCCGTGCAGGCAGATGGAGGATCATGGAGACAGCTGCCATGACAGGCCTGAGCCCGAGGCTGGAAGGGGGCCGGGAACTGAACCACGATGGCACAATGGCAAGGCAGCGACACACAAAACTCCAAAAGTGCATTGCGGTCACAGCCGTAGAGTGGGTGTTCAGTGTAGGCACAAAAAAGAAAAGTAAAAAAAACAACAGGAACAAAATAAAGAGCGAGTCAAAATGGAGCTTCCGTCAGTGCGAGCATACTGCGGCGCACGGGACGTCACGTGCATATGTGTATGAAGTTTCATTAAATTATCTTGAGCAGATCAGAAGGTATGGGCAGGACAAGAGAAAGTTTAGAGATAAGGAGGTAGACTGTCCCAACATGCCCCACCTTTGACAGGCATACACCAATGCAGCAGGCAAACACAGACAGAAGGGGGATCATGCTGAGGTTTGTCCAGATGTCCATGTATTCAGAAAAATACCTGTGTGGTGATGAAGAGAAGGGGGCTGCTGGTGGGGGCTGATGGAGCGCTTGGCCTTCAGGATGTTGTCCTCTTTGGAGGAGAGTTTCAGAGGGAGCATCTGCTTCATGTCCATTGACGCTGAAAGGAGAGAGTTAGAAAGAGAGAGGACAAACACAAAAAGGGTCAGAGTGATTTAATTGGAATATTAGATTTCACAGCAGGACACCATCTGATAAATCAGCAGGTTTAACCTAATTTAGACGGCTAATGAGAGTAATCTGCTCAGGCAAAGAGCAGTAAGCAGAAAAAAAAAAAAAAACTTTCACAGAATTCAAATAAAACTCTTGCAAGAACAGGAGCAAACGGTAATGATGCGTTTTCTACACCAGTCGTAGTTTTAAACCTCTGTTCATCTCGACAGGCATGAGTTTCACCTCAGAAAACTGCTTAAAGAAGCAAAACATAGAGAGGAAAAAAAATAAAAGCTCATCTCTGAGAGTGACCCAGAACAAGCACAGGCAAGCGTGAAGGCATCTCCGAACATACTTTGTTGCATATTTGGTCTCGTTTCAAAGAGCAACTCGAAACTTGTTTGCCTCAGTGATAAACATCCTCGTTTCCCAGAGGCTGACAGCTTTGACAGCATCTTTGTTCAAACCTTCTGCAACCAAGCATGAGCAAAGAGAGCCAACAGGCTGCTTCTTATTGTAAATCTTGCTGTTGTTTTCCTTTCACTTCAGAAAAACTTTTTATTGTTTAGTTGGTTTATTTGGGTGCATTCCTCTAAAGTCTGTTCTTCTTAAAAAAAACAAAATCTGAGACGTAACAGAGTCCTAACCTGTGCTGTCAGTACGATGCGAGGCTTTCCCCTTCCCCCCTTTTCCTTTGCCACTGTTGATTGCTGCCAGTTTGGTGGGGATCTGCTGCTGCACCCCCACCAGTTTGTGCTGCTGGTTGGTGGTGCTGAAGAGATGGAGCGGCACTTCTGTCTTCAGGGGCAGAGTGGAGGAGCCCGCCTCCCGCCGCAGAGTCACCTCAGGGCGCTCGGGATAGTCGGCCGGTGTGACGGACAGGCTGGAGCGCACTAAGGGCTTATGGGCCAGCGGCAAGTCGGACGCACTAGTGGAGCTGGAGAGGCCAGGAGGTGAGAGGAGCTCTCCGTTTAAACTGCCAGACAGAGGAGCCACCTTGAGGAGAAGAAAGACAGTGTCATTTGCCGACATGTGTTAGCAGCAGATACGTCTTCAAATTCTGCATTTCAGTTCAAAGAATGTCTTCCCAGCTCTGTTCTATAATTATTTGTTTCAGTGGTCAGAGCTGGTTTGGACGAGTCGTGGAACATCGTGTTTGCATTTTTCTTTAATCATAACCAGCTTGTATAGACGGCATGATTTTATTTTTCAAGTTTAAAACAAGAAACTTCTTCGGACAATAAATCAGCCGAGTGCTGCCGTGACATTACAGACACACGATCTGTTTAGAAGCAGAGGATTTATGGGTGTAAAGAGGAAAAGGGAAACCTTTTTCCTGCTGAGGCTGCATCTGAGCAGGTCTTTGATGTTTTGTTTTCAACTTAAGCTTAAGGACATTGTATGTGAACACACAAAACGAGAAACGTAAAACCGCTAAAGGTTCATGTGCACATAAAGGTGTGTCCAACAAAACAAGACAGGTCAGTCAGAAAAGCAGAGAAACATGAATACAGCTCTCATGACATCAGGAGATAAAAGACAAGACGGCATTGTTTGTAAAATCGCTAGAATGAATCAAAAACCATCAAGAAGTCAAGTCAGCCAGAAGGATTCATCTACACTGAATCCTTGTTTGTTTTAGGAACCCCACATGTTGGATTACAAGAACTATAAAAGTCTATTGTAATACCAGCCGTGCAATCAGGGATCCTATTCACTTCAACAAAGTGATTAAAGAAAGTTGAATATCCTGCAAAGGAAGACATGAACAAAAACATTTTAACTTCTGAACAGCCGGTGCACACTAAAACATGTGCTTGGCTTCATCATCGCAGCAACGATAACTTCCCATAAAATAAAAATCTCCAATGTGTGAATGCAGTTTGCCGATTTCAACTCCGCCTTTATTAAAATCGCCACCGTCAAACCAGCTGATGAATCGAGCTCTGGCCTTGAATATAATAAACCATCTCAAACACACTCCTCTGGGCTTTGGACATTTTTTTTTATAGTAGTCCCTCACTACTTTGAGATTCACCTTTCGTGAACTCGCTCTTTCGTGGGTTTTTTTGAGTAAACATGAGAAAAAAAATTAATTGTACAGGACACAGTTGTCAACTTTAATATTACTCACGTGATTCGGACAGTACCGGATACAGTACTGTACAGAAAAAAGTTAACGAAAAATTAAATACATAGGACAGGCGCTGCCATTTTGTATCCTGATGCATGCTCCATTTTGTAGTTTTCCCTCAATAAGCCTACACTGTATTGCCACTCAAAAGGACTACATTTCCCAGAAGCCAACAGTGCACTACCCAGAATTCCCAACAGTGCTTCCAGCTGAAATGGAGGGAAAGTTTTGATTCGATACGAAAAAGTTTGGTGTCTATTACAGTGACTTTGGCGCCCAGCGGATGCAGAGCCCCGCACGGAACCCACCGGGAACCGGAGCAGAACCGGACCACCAGACTCATCAATGAACCCGAGAGCTGCTAGTCGGCCCACGAGGACTTCTGAACAATGTTCAAACACAAACAATTTGAACTGAGTTTAGAACATTGTAAGTGTGGGGTTTCTAAATCCTTAAAATATATATAAATACTAAAATAAGTATAACGTCGAGTATTTTCACTTATTGCGGGTGGGTGGGTGGATGGAGGCGGGGTCTGGAACGTAGCCCCCGCAATAAGAACAGAGAGCACTGCACTTGGATTTCACCAGTACTATTTATGTTTGAATATAATTAAAGATAAATGTCCAAAATCAATTGTTAAAACAGTCATAACCACATTTATAGGTTGTATGTGTCAGTAAAATTAATATTTCTGATGCACATTCAACATGATGACTTTGTACCGTGTGTTGCCTCCAGCTGGAACCACAAAGTATAACTTCAGTAAGACGGAGGCTCCTCGATGGTGAAAGTATCCATACGTCCTTCCATTACTCCGCCCTCTTTTATTCCCTCCATCATTTGTCAACTTTCAGCTCTCGGTCATCTTACACTGATGTTCAACTGCTCTTTGAACAAGGCAATCAGTTCTAGTGACGTTTAAAAAAAAACAAACAGGTATCCAAGTCACTGAAGCAGCACGAAGAACTCTGACAATAAGCAATTAGCAGTCTCTGTCTTCCAGAGGTCTTTATAATTAACCAGACCAAACGTGTTATTTCCAAAGTCAGGTTCCTCCTAATCCTGAAAACTGCCTGGATCTTTCTGGATCAGGTGCATCTTTAGTAATGCTGAAATAAGTTGCCTTGGAGATAATGGACACCACCCACAGGCAAGCACAGGTTGGGTGGTTCTGCTTCCACTTTGCAGAGCACGTTAGCCATCTCTTAGGGCTCCTCACAGCACAGACTTCTATAGATGTTAAATACCCAGAATCCTTCACTCTGTGAGGGGATGAGATGGACACACAGGTGCAAACACATCCCAGGTCAAACTCTCATCTGAACAGAATTATGTGCAATAATGCAATTATGAATCAAACTGATGACTTTTTATGGGCCATCTGCAGCTCTGAGCTGGACTGAATTAACAAGATTAGTGAACAAGGCAAGCGAAATGTGTCTAATCCAGAATCAAACTGAGTCCAAGTAGTCACACAGTTTAGAAATGAGAGGATTACTCTGAGTAAACAGTTATGCTCTGTGGGGCATAATCAGAAACGAGCAGGTTTGTCAGACGAGTTTTTTTTAATCCATCAAAATGTCAGAAATCATTTTAAAAACTAACGAATCCATTAAACTATTTATGAAAAACTAAAAAAATGTTATTAACCTCTAAGCTATATTTGTTTAGCTGAAAACAGGACATCTGAAATGAAGTGCTGCTGACGTGAACATTTCTTATAACATAGAAATAAAAAAACAAAAAAACTGCGCATTAAAAAAAAGACAGTTGTCTGACATAGAAATTTATACTTTATGTACTACTACTGTCAAGGGAATTTTGGTAAAGGTTTATGGACGTTTGTCACTAACTAATGTTAGCTTAATGTTTGTTAGAGGTCTGCTGAGAGGAGCCTGCAGGCGCACCTCCAAGGCCTTCTTCTCGTCTGTAAACTGGAAAGCCGAGGTCATTTTGACCGTCTGATTAAGCGTGTATTATAAAGCACTTCCTGCCTCACTGTCCTGTGCAGATTCTCATTGACGAGGCTCAAAGCATGTAACTGTTAATCTGTGCAAGCTTCCTCGTGACTAGACTGGTTATACAAAAACCTTCTTGTGTCCTCAGAATGGCTTCTTTGAGTAAATAGAGATGAAAGGATATTTATTTTATTCAACAACTACACTTGAATAAATGCCTGTGGGAGCTCCTGAGAGCAGAAACTTACTCATATGTAATATTATTCCACAGCAGCAAAACTGATAAAGGTTACCTGAATGAGTTTTTAATCCCTTAAAACACAAAAAACACAAGATTATAAGCAGAGGTGGGTTAAACTAGTTAATCAAATAACTGCATATGTCGAGGAGCTGATGGAAGATGTGAAAGGTCACATATGTTTTTCACTTATTACTGTCTACTGTATATGAACCATGTGTGTGTTAAGAGTTGTTTTGTCTGGACAGAGTGCTGCAGAAGCATGAAGCCTTCACCTGATAAACTCAAGGCCTAAGCGGGCAGGCAGCGCCTCTGATAACATCATAAAAAGATCCTCTTCTATGCTCTCTGAGCAGACTTAGAGACGAAGAGACATGTAAATATCTTGCCTGCTTGTGTTTCAACTCTGCTCCATCTTGAAAGATTAAACTGGGATGAGAAAAATATCTACTCGTTCCTGTGTGGCATATTTATTTAATGAGCTACAAGGGATAATATTAAATTATCCTAACAGAAGCTATTTCTTTACAAAGCAAAAACTACAGGCTGACAAGGACAAAGAAGAGTCGTGTGTGTGTGTGTGTGTGTTTGTATTCATTACCTTTTAAGGCCCATTTTTCCAACATACTACATTGTGAGGACCCACAGCCCGGACCCCATAAGGAGCTGTGTCATTATTGGGTTAGGGGTTAGGTTTAGGGTAAGGGTCATGATTAGACTATAGAAATGAATGGAAAATGAGTGGAAGTCAATGCAAAGTGTGGGTGGGTGGTGTGTGTGTGGTCAGATTGCTGATGAAAATCAATAAATGTATTAAATGAACACACCAGAACAACTCGATATGCCCACAGGCTCTGGTTACAAATGAAAGAAATCATAAACCTGTTGAAGGCACAGATGGAGAACATTTTTAACAATTTTCTAGATTAAAAAAAATAAAATAGAAGTTACTTTTTATTGCCATTCAAATCTTTACCTTTAACCTTGATAATGCACGTTTTCCAAGTTTATATTCACAAGACTATTATGCAACTTGACACGTCTTTATTCTAGTTAACAGTCCAAAAAAACCCATGCTGCCGAACAAGATCAGAAGAGATAAGATGAAAGAAACGTTTCACTGAAACCCAGACAAGTTACAACTCGCACAGCTATTACTTAAACATTCACGAGTCAAACACACACAGTCTTTTTTTTTCTTTTCACAGAGTCTAATTATATCTCTCCAGGTTTGCTGATGAGTCTTCATTTTGGGCGGTGGTGATTAAATGTCATCAGGTTGGCTCAGAGCCTGGGACAGACTGCGAGGTTCCAATTAATGAAAAGACCGTTTGATGTTTGATGCAAACCACTTCCAAGACAAAACCGCAGCCAAGAAATGCACAGCGTGAAGGACAGTGCTGCAACCCATCCATGTGTGGAGATACTTTTTCGCTGGGCTAAGACTGTTTGAAACTAGCTGGTGAGTCATAATTGTGAGAAAACAGATTGATTTTCTGTTGCAGTCTCTAGAATTTTAAATGTTTGTGACCAAGTTAATAGTGAGCCATGCAGCGGCCAATTCTTGAAACTGACTGCCAATTTTAGTGTGCACAGCTTGTAAAACTGTATTCAAGGCCGTGCATATGTTGTTGCTCACCTCTGCCTGGATGCTCGCATGTTTATGACTTAATATACTGAAGTACACATTTGAAATTAAAAGGAGGAAGATTTTAGACCTGGATATCCAGAGCTGCAAGATGTTTTCTGGTATAGATTCACAGCTAAACTGAGACGGGTTTGAGAAGCGTGAAGCGACTTTGTGACAACTTTGAGAGAAAACCTATAGCACTAATCTTTTGCACAAGTTTAAAATTCAAGTAGCAAGACTGAGCGTCTGCATATTGCATGAGGAAATTAAGAACCCCTACAGATGTTTTGAGCCATTCAGGAGACTCCTTTTTGATTGTTTTTCACCAAATAGTTGCCAACGGTTGTAGCCCAGCGAGATACAGACTGCTGGTCTAACAGTGATAGCACATGCAGAATTTATGTAGAACTGATTTCACTTAGGCGTTAGGTCAAGAATGCTTTTCTTTAAACAAACTGCAATAAACTCATGCATTGAAAACTATATATTTAGACGTAGTATAGATTGAATAACTTCATGTACAGATTCCAGAGTTTTTTATTACCCATTCTGATAACTGGAAAAGTTTAATTAAGTTGATTAAGCTGATACCAGTCTTGGGTTAGGATTCCTGTTATTAGTCATCTAAAGACCTTTAAATTATTGGGATGCTATACAAAATAAATGGCAGATAAGGTGTCCGGTTGTTTTGTCAAAGTAATAAAGTGGGTATTGTTCATTTACTTTAGATAAAAAATACAGCACAGTCATTTGGGGGGGGGACATCTCAAATCGTGAAAGGACAATGAGGTATCTCTGTCAGTTCCTTACATGATTACATGAGTTAAAAACCTACGGTTATTGCACAGAGGATGGTATCATGGGAAACAACACACAAACAGAGATGACGTGTTGAAGCATGCATTAGCTGCACTGATAAACAGCTCAGTGGTCATCAAGTCCATGACTCACAGTGTTAACATGCTTTGTACTTATTTGCGGGACCATTATTTAGAGTAAACATATCATTACACGTGTCTTATTTAGGCTCCTGGGGATACAATCATGTGTAAGTCAGAGGTGCAGCTGTTCCTGTTAATGCTCTGACTTTATCAGTCTAGATTTGTTTTTGTTTGGTACAAAGGAAGGCTGTGCCAACACGAAGACTGAAACGAGCTTTCCTCAGGTTGTGACAGACAGACAATCAGCTAAGCAAAGACTGTGACACAAGCCTCTGAAAACACTCAAAGCTCCTATTGGGCAACTTTACGAGGACTCTGACAGATCTGTTAACACCAGGCGTGAAATTACAGTCAGCAGATCTTAAAACTCCTCTCCCATGAAATTCACAAACAATGACCCGCATTGTGTCACAAGGATAGACACAGACGCAAGAAAGAACAAATGGAGGAAACAATAGGAAATGCAAAGCGAAGACAGACTGCTCTTTGACAAGATAGATCCTCAGATAAGTGCTTTTATAAATATAACTTGTAACTTACAGTGTATAAATAGTAGTCTTTATCACTTTCTCCCATCCAAGTTGCACAAGTAGAAATAGATTCTTTCATGTGGATGTTAATAGAAAATATTTGTCCAAGCAGACAGTGATTTGTGATGCTCACAGTTGTCTGCTCATGTTGCAGAATTATGAAGAAGTGTCATAAATAAAAATGACTAACTTGAACAAAAGTGTGTGTAAAGAAGACAGAGGAGGAGATGCAGGAAGATGAATTTATTCAGAGTTTGAGTTTTGGAATTAAAGTTCCCATCATGTGTTGTGAAAGCTGCTCTGAAATGGACTACGAGACTGGCCTTAAGAGAAGGACTACAAAGAGAGAAGTATGGACGGCGTACATTATTCCACTTCATTTATCTTTGATTTATCAGCAAACATCGCATTTTGTGGAACAGAGATTCGTCTTGCTGACGTAACAGTTTCCACTACTACTGGCTTCCCACCTCAATCGTCTTCCTCTTGAACTTTTTCAGGTTTTCCAGGCGTTCCTTTTCTTTTTCCACTGCTTTGGTGGACTCTCTCAGTCTCTCCAAGTCCTGCTGGTACGTCTCTCTCTGCATGTCCAGCTCTTCTCTTTCCTTCGCCAGCTGCTCCTGTATTAAAAACAAAATTTTTAGATTTTACACATTGTAAAACAAAAAGACTACAAAACCTTTGCATCTTTAGCAAATTCAGCATGTATTGCCATTAAATTAGTTTCCACAGCTGTAACGTAGAATGTAGAACTTCACCTCAAGCCGCCTGCACTCCTCCTCTCTTTGCAGTAGCCTGGCCTCGGTAGCCTCAACCTGCTGGCGGTGCCTCTCCCGCTCCTTCTCCCAGCGCTGCTGCTCCTGCCTGTGCTGAGACTGAAGCTTATGCAAGGTGGCCAGCTCCTCTCTCTGCAGAGCCAGAGTCCGCTGCTTCTCCTGCTCCAGAAGCACGTTTCCTCTGTGACGGCCTGGCAGCGGCACCCGCTCTGTCAGTGAGGCCCGCTGCAGCTCGATCTGACTGTCCTGCTGCGATATGATGGCCTGAAGATGCAGAAAAATAAATACCATATGTAACTAAATATTGGTGCTAGTTCTCTCAAAAAGCTGAAGATTGCATTCAGTACATACGCAATATAAGTGAGGATGGGACTCATTTACCTGCAAGCTATAAAGCCTCTGGGAGAGCATCAACACTCTGTCAAAGAACTAAAATGTCAAAAAAATAAAAAGATTAATGAACAAAGTATAAGCAATATGGCTAAAATAACACAAAAGTTGACTGAACTACTAAAGGCATGGCAACAAGGTCAAATCCTACAATGATGAAAGGTGACATGATTAAAAAAAAAAAAGTTACCTCAGCTTCAGGAAACGAGTTGGACCAGATGCAGTTCCACCTTGGAGGAGAGCAGCAGGTCTCATCAACCTGAGCAGCAGTCAGGCACACAAAGTCAAACAAAATGTGATCACTGTTCAGTGGAGGGATATTAAAAAGTAAACAGGTAAATGAAGCCTTCAGGTTAGGAAAATGTATTTCTATGAGGTACAAATTAGTTAACATTTCATAAAATCTCATTAAACTTTTTATTTCATCGTTTCATTTTCTAATTCTGAGTGTTTTTAAACTCAATGTTTTGTTCTTTTTTTAAAAGTTATGAGTCATTTTAGCATTAAATATATGAAAAAGCAGGATTATGTTTGAAAGTGAGCCTGAGTTTACAACCAGATTTGTTCCCATCTCATCCGCCAACATAAAGTGTCACTGTTGTGGAAAAACTTAAATTTTAATAACCCATAAAGAAGGTTAAAAACAAAAGAACGGAGCAAATGTATTATGTGGCACCGTTTGAAGATTTATTATTTGTCAATGTTAAAACTAAGATAATGCTCAAATAATAGTAATAATAAGGTTCAACATTTGACCCATTCCACAGCTCTAAAACTCAGCTATAGAAAAATGCCAAAAATGTACGTAATCCTGGCGTTATTTCACACTCACTCTCCTTTGTTATATTTAACCAGTATAATTATTCTCATGGACCAGGGTTCACTGGAATTAACCTAAACGTTCAGAGTACAATATTTATCAAGGTTTTATCCATTTCCAAACAAATGTGAAAACCTGTGTAAACAGCATTCCTGTAAAACACAAGGATGTGGAAACTTTACAGATGACTTGGTCAGTTTTTGACTATTTACAGGAAATATTACTGCGACTCATCTCCAGATACACAGTATGTGTGTGTGTGTGTGTGACTGCAGAGCTCCTACCGTCTGCTCCAGAGTGTGGCTGCCACACAGGTCTTTGAGCTGAGGGTCCGAACTGGCTCTTTGGCTTCGGTCTCGGTTTCTGGGCTTGCAAGAAAAACTTTTCTTCATACTGCCATCTGGAACAGACGTGCAGACAAAAATACTTGTAGACACACAAAAACAAGCAAAAGGTGACAAACAAATAAAACTAACGCACTGGAATACACAAGTTTTCATAAAAAATTTAAACAAGCATCAACAGCTACTTTTATTTTATTCACAGTTTATGGCAAACCTGACCAATAAATGCATCAAGATTCATTGGTTCCCCTTCATTTCTGGCCTTTTTGGTAGGGGTGGGGGGTTAATTTGGAAGATTTATTTATTAAGTGTGCAGCTTTTCTCACCGCAGTGCATTCTTCAGAGCTTCTCAAAGAACTTAATGTTATTATGATAAAAACATTTTTTAGTTTGGGGAAGCAAAATGTTTGAATGTTTTCAACAAACAATCAAATATGAAATTTAAGATTTTTCATTGGTTACGTTAAATCCGTCTAGTTTGTCTGCATTTATTTTTTTCCCCCCGGATGGCCATGATCCAGAGGACCACCTGGCTCCGCCTCTCGCCATCCTTGTCCGAGAGGCTGCAGAAAGACCTGCTGGAGGGACCCATCACCCCAGAGGCGCTGTTCGGGGCCAACTTCAGGACCATCCTTGAGAAATTGCAGAGGTCCGAGGAGGTCTCAGAGACTGTACACCATCTGGTGACGTCACAGTCCTCCTCCCGCCCCTCCGGCCGTTGGAGGGACCGGCTTGGCCAGCAGCAGAGGTGCTCCACAGCTGCGGGAGCGACTGATTGGTAACTCTAAATTGTCCCTAGGTGTGGGTGAGAGAGTGAATGGTTGTTGTCTCATTTGTCTCTATGTGGCCCTGTGATGGACTTGTGACCCATCCAGGGTGTACCCTGCCCCTCGCACCGTGATTGCCAGACATGGGCACCGGCGACCCGCATGACCCAAAATGGAAGAAGCGGGTAAAAGATGGATGGATCGGCTTATTGCTAACTTTTCAAGTTGTCAAATTCACAAGGTTAACATATATACACATGAAGGCAGCCATCTCAGATTTTGACGTGGCAACCCAATTTTCAAGAGGAATATTTTTTACACCTAGATGTTGCCACACACCAAAATGGAAGTCAGCAGTTAACTTGTTTTTCATGTTATGCTCGCAACAAGCAAAGATGGATGGATAGATGGATGAATGGACAGACCAACAGATGGAAGGACAGATGAATTGCCATTTCCGATTCTCCCTCTTCGCTTTGCAACAGGGGACAACTACAAACACTTGAAACTGACAATCTTACAGAGTATTTAGCACTGAGCATACAAATGAACAACTTTTACGTTAATATTGCTTCCAAGAAATAAAGTTGCAGAATCGAGCTACTCTCCTTGGATAACGATAGGGGAAATGCTGAGATTTTTATTATTTATAATTTATTAAAAGAAAAAAGAGAAAACTTTTTAGATGCTAGACTTTAATAAAGTATTTTGAGTGCTGGACTCACTCTTAATGAAGATGGTTGGGTTACTATCATAGCCACCAAATGTGTCTGCTCGTCTGGGCAGAACCCCAGAACCTCCACCTTCCTCCATCCGAGATGGTTGAGTCTCCTCCCCCACTCCAGACTGCAGCAAGTTCTGCAGGTTCTCAACTAAGATTAAAAAAAGAAGAAATGTAAAATAAAGTAGAATGTATTTATGAACCTTGCACACAAGTACATTATTGTGCAGCATCATCTTACCCTCCGTGATGGCTCCTTTGAGCAGGGTCTCCCCCTGCTGGAGGTCTGAGGTGTCTCCTCGAAGCATAAGTCTGGAACGTGAAGCTACTTCCTCCAGACCGGACACAGACTCTGCCATCTCTGCAAACAGCTGCAGCTTCTCTGTAAGAGCCTGAACAATCACTGCATCCTTCTGGCTCAGCCGCTCTACAACAGAAAACATTTCACAAAAGAAGAGTCATAATTTAAAAAGGTAAAACAAATCTGTAGGTTCTACACAGAAATTATTTTTAGGTCTTTTTTGAAGTAGAACAAAACATTTGAATGCCAAAACTACTTTAATTCTCTGTTAACTTAATTTTACATATGAATGTTTCTGTTCAGTGCCCTGAGATGACTTCTGTTGCGATTTGGCGCTATATAAATAAACTGAAGTGAATTGTAAGAAAAAAAAAACGTCAGTCAACTAAGTATTTCAAGTCAACGGCATCCCCTGGTGGATGATCATATTTTTTTTCTTAATACCCATCAGCAATTTGACATCCGTCACTCAGTCCAGCAGGCTCGTCAGCAACTGACCAATCGACAATAGCAATTTTTCCCGAAGTGAAACACCCCTTAAATGCCGTAGCTGAACCCCTTTTTCCCATGACAACATTGTTGTGATTTTACATTACGAACATTTTGCAGTCAGAGGAATTTTGTGAAAAATCATTAAAAAAAAAAAAAAAAAAAAAGGGTAAAACGTCAGTGGGGAACATGCAATGCAGAATAGGGGTTAAACGACTACACATTTTAAAAGTCGAGTCGACATCGACAAGTCGATGACGTCATAGGAACTCAAGACGCTATATCATATTTGCAAAAAAAAAAAAAAAAAAACAACCCTCATTTATTATTTACAAAAAAAGAACAACAAAACATCGGGTGCATATTTATGCTCCTATCATTTATCATACTGCAAATAAGTCAAAGGAAAAGCAAAACTATTATCAAGCTGCAAAAATGCTGCTGTATTTAGTTTTATTCTATTTAATCCACCACGTGGATTGGGTGGAATAGGGTTGGGAACAGCGCGGAGGGTGTGTGTGTGTGTGTGTGTGTTTCTGACTAGTCGCCATGAAATATAGAAACTCGCGAGATGATCTATAACAGACTAGTCGGTTAGTCTATTCAACCCCTAATGCAGACATGCGTTACCCTGAGAGTAGAGGGTGGAATAAAGTTTATTCCATTTAAATCACCTAAACTGAATCTGGAAAAATGGAAAAGATGGATAAAGCCCTGCAGCTGACCTCATGAGCAGCCGAATACAACAGTGATAAACAGGAAATACCACATGTTCATTTGTATGACGGTAACTGCATGCAACTCTTCCATTTTTGTCATTATTACTTTGTATGCTCAATGATTAAATTAAATGTTAATGCTTAAAGCTAGGTCTAGTTGTGCTTCGTTTTGCATGTAGATGTGTTGCAACTTCGGGTTTCACAGGTTTAGTCTTGATCAGTTAAAACTAAACCGATTTTGCACAAAGCGTTTAATAGGTTGTGTAATGTAAATGTACACGCTTAGTAGCCTACATACTGAACGGAGAGGTGGAGGTATGCACATGATGGTAGTGTAACTGTCACATGGTTGTCACATAAGTCTGAATTCTTGCACTGTGCTGCTCTGCGGCATGGAGACATCTACTGCAGTAACTATTGTAAGTTATTAGTATCTTTGAATTTATTTTTGCCATCTTCACTGGCTTAATGTTGGCTAATAAGGCAAAAATGCCTCAGCAAACAAGCTCCACTACCTTCACCTTTACAGTTATCATTTGTTTGTCTGAGGTTAGCTCGCCCTGGGCTACAATTCCGCATGGGCAGAGCAATCTTACTATTCGTGTCATGTCAATGTCTTCATTTGATGTTACCTTGAAATTCTTTGAGCCTGACAGCCCGAGCCTCCTCTTCTTCGCTGAACAGCCTCTCTTCAGAGTGAGGACAGCTAACAGAGCGAGTGAAGAGGTGACAACACAAAGAAGGTTAATTCATACAGTGCGTGTGTCCTTTTGTTTGTGCACTGACATGCTGCCTTACAAGTTGTTCACATTTCCCACATTAAACCCATTCAGTGATTCCGGATGTGGTTGGAAAATGACAGAAATGTGTTGATAAATCTTGCGTGTAATGAATTACTTCTCAACAGCTTGTCGAATGTGCGTCATCCAAGTGTTTCGCTCCTCTTTACAGGTGGTGTGGATCTCGTACATCTCTGGCTCATTGGAAGAGGCACAAATAAGAAACATGGCTTTCTCCTCGTGGGCCACTTCTCTGACTATCAGCTTTTGGAGAGAGATCACTGGTGGCTTATTATCCTGAGTAAAATAAAACAAGGGCAAATAAAAGCATTAAAGAGACAAAAGTCTGAATGATTAAAAAAAAAAAATTGTAGATAATACTGACAAGGGGGAAAAACAATGTAGTTTTATACTGAAAATAAAAGTTTGAAACATCACTCACAACTGCAGCAAACGCATATCTCTGATCCTTCTCTTGTATTAAAAGCAACACATCTGACAGCAGAACAGCAAGAATATCTGAAAGGATAATCAGAAACAAAACCCTCAGAAAGACATCTAAATGACAAAAAAAAGTTTTTAATTTATGAACTGTTCATTTTAAGCAGAAAATTTGTTTTGAATTGATGGTGCTGTAACAGTGTACCTTTGAGTCTGCCAGAAGCAGCCTTCCAGCTGACTGTGCCCTCATGAAGCAGTTGTCTCCTGCCCTGCGTCAGGTCCTCCCTGCGAAACACCCGGCCATCTTTGAATTTTCCCGAAGCCTTTGGCTCTATCTTGTTGTGTATGTCTTGAAGTCTAGAGTTCTTCTCGTACAGATTAACCAGCGCATCCACCTGTACAATGGTGTCTTTAATCAGACTCAGTGCCCGAGTCAGGTTCTCATGCTCCTCAGTCCCCACTAGAGACAAGAAAACGCTCTGAATAACAATCCTTTTCTGGTTTTAGGACATTTTTCAACAGTAATGGTGATTTATTTAGCAGAAAGACCTTCAGTGTTGTGCAGAATGCGCTCCACCAGGACTGGGTACTTCGTAATCCGCTGTGTCACCAACAGAATACACTCCGTTATTCCTAACCGTCGCACAATGGACAGGTTGTTGATTTTCTAAAAAATAAATAAAGATTTTCCATTTATAGAAAACATAATTAATGAAAAAAATATATAATAAAACTGCTTGTTTATATTACTTTTATGAGGTTCTGAAACCGTCTGTTGTTCTGCAGCTGATCTTTGTAGTAGCTGACAGCTTCAGCGTGGTGACTGCAGAAATCTCCATAACTTTCCTTCATTTTCTCTCCTATTTCACCCGAGAACTAAAGAGAGAAAAAAAACTCTTTCACCAGAAAGTAGTTTGTGCACTGCAACATGTTGATCATACTGTTTAAAGAAAAATGTGCATGTTTAAGTAGTGCTATGGAGGTATGCTTCTGTAGGAGGGTGCCGTTTCCATATGTTTAGATAAATGGCATTAACATCCATGGGACTGCCAGGATGCAAGACACTCCATCTCTCAGTGGTCCTAATGTTATGGCTGACTGGTATGCACTCCTCCCTACCTGTGTGATTAGGATGTCTGCCACTCTGTTGATAGTGTAGTTCTTGGTGCTGGGGGAAACGAGGTTTTCTCGCCGTCTCTCTTTGAGGCGAGAGAAGAACTGTGTGTGAAGTTCCAGGAGGGTTTCCAGTCGGGGGAACAGACAGTCCAGTCGGCTCGAGTCCATCTGAAGGTTCTCCTTCAACTCTTGGGCGTACACAAGCAGCATTATCTTCAGTGTTCGCACGTGGTGCATCTCCGTCTGCATCAGTTCTGCAGAACATGTTTTTTTCCAAAACAGACTTTAACCGTAGAAGTTCTAGAATGGGTTCTCTCATCATTTATTTAATTGTTTTTTTTTTTTCTTGTGCATTCATTTGGCTAAAGTTATTACGTTACATTTATTTAGGGATTATATCTCAATAGTAACTTCTGGAAAGACATGCACACCTTTTTATGCATTTCTAGCTGGATCATCTCTAAGGAAATAAATTCCACTTACCATATATCACATCCTGCCTCTTCACCACTTCCTTCGAGTGCTTCTTTAGATACTGTGGGTCAACCTCCAAACTCCATGAGTCTGCCTTAAAGTCCTGAGCATCTGACTCGAGGTCAACTCTCACTGCTCCATAGTTGGCATCTAAAGAGGAGCAGAAGTGCTGATGATCTCACTAATTGACATTTTCAATTCTAACCAGGCCAGGATTATTACAGTACTGAGAGAGGAGTGCAATAATTAGTGAACTAAAGACAGACAAATGATTACAAACTAATTGCTCTCTAAGTTACATCTTGTTAACCAGTGAATTTTAGGTCGTGGCAGCAATATTAAAAGAGTCTGCATCTCTCTCCCACACACTTCAGCTTAATGAGATGGATGGAAATCGTGGCTCAGCAAAACGCCCTACACACATTCTCCTCTCTGGTGTTATGAAAACTCCCTTGAAGCAAACAAGCGAAGGTTTAAAGATTCAAAAGTCTGAGAAAGGCTCATAATAGCAGCATCGTCACCATCACGACATACAAGAGAGGAACTGAACGTTACCTTCTACAACGATGGACTCAGCGATGGAAGAAGCGAGGGAAATTGAGTCATCATTGCAGCGTTTGAATCCGCCAGCATCTGTTTCATCCATCTCCCCTGAGAGGGATCTGAGGGGTCCAGGGTGGCATACATGCCGAAAGTTAGACAAACTTGAACATACAAATACCCTCAGGGACGAGCACATGCATTTATCCAAAGCAGAAGGACTGAATCAGATAAGCCAAATATCTGTTTTCTGACTGATCACAGCACAGATTTGATCCTCTGCCTCCTCGGTCTCACTCTTTTTTTTTTTTTTTACCCACAAAGTCAAATAAAATGTCTAGATGCACTTTAAAAAGACGCTGCATTAGAAAACAGCTTCCTGCTTTAAATACACATCACAGAGGAAGTAATAATTGAGCTGAAAAGTCAAAAAATAAAACTATTCAGCACGTCTGCAAACATTTACAACTTAATACATTTTAAAAACACCTTTATTTTTTTAATTTTATTTTTCACTAAAATAAATAATTCCACACATAAAGATATATTTTTTAACAAAGTTAGAAAAGGCACTGCAACGTTCATTTCTGAGGTACTCACACTGAGCTGCTGTTGTGACGAAGACCGTGACCAGCGCTGCAGGCAGGGACTAACGTGGAGCTGGTGCTCTGGGCGGCAGACGTGCTAGGGCCACACAAACTAAGGGTCATGCCTGGGATACTTGGTCTGCGGCCATCCAGGACCTGGGATGTAGCTGTGCCTGCCTGATCCTTTTCTCTGTCCCGGTCTTTCAGCGCTGGGAAAGAAAGACGAGAAACAGGTGAACGGAGGAGACGAGAGCGGATGGAGGAGGAATGTGAGGACAAACGAGGAGGGGACACAGAGAAAGGAGAAGATGACCAGTGAAGCGGAGAAGCGGACGACTTGTCCGTGTCCTTTCCAAGTCGACTCCAGTATTTTTTCACCCAAGAACGAGGCAGGGATTGGAAAAAGCGAGAGGTGATCATATCGCGGTGCATCAAGACTCGTACGCCGACATGTCCAGAAAGACGGCATGATGAAGAGGAGAAAGACCGGGAGGACGACTTAACAGTCTTGGAACCACCTCTGGAGGCCCCCGTAGTTTTACCAGAGTTTTTAGCGACTGCTACATCCATAGTGTCAAACACTAACAAGATATTATTAATCCAAACTTCAAGAACAAGTTCAGTAATCTCGGTGGAAATTACAGCGCAGGCAATAGCAGGACAAAAAAGATAAAGAGAATGAGACAGAACCAGTTTTTACAAGCGCCCAACCCAGACTCTTTTCATCCCAGGTTTTGTAATAACTTCTGGAAAGACGCGCTCGCCCTTTTATATTTCTAGCAAATTCTGGTTCTTCACTGATCATCTCCTCTCCCTCCTCGCAGTCTTCCTGACCCCCTGCACAAGTCACTGATTGGCTGGAGAGGGACGTGTGGAGAAATCAGGTGTGGCTGACAGGACTCCAGCTGTTCAGAGGGGAATAACGACTGCTACAGGAGATTAACTAAAGCTGCTGCTGCTGCGGACACTCAGGTCTCCTGTGGGCTCAATCGCACGCAGCAGCACCTGCTGCATGTTCCCACAAAACCAATGCCTTAGATTTCCTGACCATAAAACAAAGTTAAAGCGCATACAATAACTGTCATACTGTGATCGATCCATTTCTAATTTTTCTGTGAAGCCCAAGTCTGCTTTACCTTGTTAAAACTCCAACATCTGTGCTTTGGCTTGACAACTGTTATAAGTTGTAGAAACCACCTTTTGTTCTTATAGTATATTTGAATTGATTGAAAGGGGATGATCAACATGATTTTACATGGATACAGCACGTTAATGTGCTGGATTTAGCCAAATTAGCTAATTTTCATTTGTAGTCACCAGCAGGCAAATGCTATAAAACTTGAAAACCAGGGGGGAAAAACTAACTAACCAGAACCCACAAGCAATAAAGATACAAAAACAACAAATTTAAAAAATCTAAAAGATTGTACAGACCGTAATAACGTCTATTGGCTTGTAAAGACCTAAAACGATCTTTTTAAAGCATAAAAATTTTTACGTTTTTCGTCCTTTTGTGTATGCATAAAGTCTTTATATGTTGTTTATACAACATCACAAAATAAATTCAAACTAAAAAACAAGTGCTTCATCTGACCCGTTATCAGCAGCTAATCATCACCTTTTCTTACTGACTGCTGGAGACCAATCTCCCCACTCAACACTTGGTGTGTACACAAACACACAAACAAAAAAATAAATAAATCAGACTCACATGCACACAAACATAAGATTTTTCATTAAACATTGGGTCAGTGGGATTTATAAGCTCCACAAATATTATTCTGCTCACCAATGTTAGGAGATGATGTGCCGGCCTTCGGAAGACAATCTTTCTGTGTGAAGAAAATTAAAGAGAAGGTTTAATCGAGGACGCTCGTGTTTTTCAGGGTGAGCCGAGTCTGTCAACATGATAGTTACTGTACTTTCTGCAGGTGACAAGATTGCTCAAATGGCCAAGGACTGTACCCAACAAGCAAATCTCAGGCAGATTCAAAAGAAGAAAGCCAGAAATCTAAAGTCGTTTTATAGCAGCGCTGCGAATAGGAGCGCAAAACTCCTCTCCAACAATGATTTACACTTTTCTGTTATTAGGATACACAAACATGGAGGATGTGATAACAATGACGGTTCCATAAAGAGACCAAAACTATTTGTTTTAATCAACTAATAAAATATTTCAGAACAAAGATGCTTAAATCTTTTAAGACTTAAAGTGACAAATCTCTAAATGTCTTATGTTTGTCTCTGAAGGTCTTCCACAAAATATACTTTCATTGCAAAATGAATAAATTATGTCACACCAGGACAAATAAATCTTAATAGGTCTCATTTTCTACCTTAAAATTCTAAATAGTCTGACTATAAGCAAACATAACATAGGAAATAGTACTATTACTGTGACTTTACTTTAGCCTTGATCCACTTTTATCTACGCTTGAGCGTGATGTTTACCTTGTTCCTGCTGCTGGTGCACTCACCCAGCAGAGACTTGCAGCTCTTGTGAACATTCACAGCACAATCTGAAAAACAGGACGGGAACTTGGAGTCAGTGTCCCACCAGGAATGTCGGACTGCATGTAAGACCGTAAATAAAAAGCCACTGAGGAAACCGTCCCGGCCTTCAGCACACTATAAACCACATTTTCAGAAAGTAACACTCCTGAATGTTTAACGTAAAAGGTACAGGAAAAAAAACAAAACTTTAGATTTTCTTACTTTTAATCAGAATGTCAAGTTTTTGATTTTATCGTTTGGTGAAAGAATCACTTTTTTAATGCAGCTGTGCTTGTGCAGCTCAAAAACAGCCACTTGTTTGTTTGCATGATACACTATTACCAAAGCAGGTGAGAAACGCCCCTTTTTCTTAGAAATAAGTTTCTCTTGAAGTCTACTACTCTCCCTGTATGGAAAACAAACCAAGTACTGCCTAGTTTAGTTGTCGATTGTATCTATGCTGATTGGCAGAGATACAAATCAGAGTTGTTGTGGAAAAAACACAGAGCTACCGGTAGTTGTTTCCACTTTCAAATCAGTTTCTGAAACTCTGCTAAAACAAATCAGTTGAATTAATATGTCCTAGACACCCGAGGTAAAAAAAAAAAAAAAAAAAATGGGTAAGGTGAACACGAGAAGCTCTTCCAGAAGGACGAGGCTCGTCAAACAAATGAAGTTATCAAGATGCAAAGCACGACTCCAGGCCAGCCAGTTCAAATCCAGCGCGTGTACACCAGTTTTCATAATTTAGTAACAAGTGAAAAGCAAACCTTAGCCAACACGTTAAGTAGGTCATTTATAAAAACAGAGAAAAGTCAAACTGTTGTTTTTAAAAGAGTTAATAAACCTAAAGTAAAGCATTCACTGTGGTTTTATGATATACGCTCCGAAGTGTCAAAGGTTAAAGGCTGCAGCTGAAATTTCACTAAGTGATCTATTATTTTTCTTCTCAAGTAATAAGTGTCCGTAACCGCAACATATTTAAATTGTCAAAACAGTTTTATAATGGAAAGAAAAAGTTAAGAACATTGTTAAAATCCAATATGGATGCAAAATATTAACAAAACGTGTTGAATCTTTTAATGGCAGCATCAGTTTGGATAAACCAACATGTTCAGTCGTTACAGTGTTGGCTGCACAATTAGCTGAGGGTTTCATTTGCCTTCTGCTTTTCTGTGTGCTGGGACAACGGAGAAAAGGACAAATAAGTACCGTCATTTCCAGACAATAAGCCGCTACTTTTTTCACACGCTTTGAACGTGGTAGCTTATACAATGCTAAGGCAAATTTAAGATTTTTTTTTTTTGATGGGCTAACAAGCTTCATGCCACCAAAACATTTAACTTTGTCACACTCAAGTGCTCACATAGCTGCCCAATACACATCTCTCTTGGGGGGTGGGGTGGGGGGGGTGGGGGTTAGCGATCAATGACTTCCTGGTAGATTAATGTATTTTTTTTTTTATGAGCTGTGTTACAGGCACTGTTCAAAAAAATAATTTACTGTATTTGTGCACGTTACCGGTACATACTTAATTAAAAGAAAATATATATATATTTCTGTGTAAATATCTCATGTTACAACGTCAACACCCGCAGCTTATAGACAAGTGCAGCCTATTTATGTAAAATTTAAACTTTCTTTTTAAGCTCAGTGGGCGTGGCTTATATTCAGGTGCGCTCAATAGTCCACAAATTAGTCTATTCTTGAATGAAACAAAATCACTGAAAGCAATAAGCATCTCTGTATGTTTCGAGTAGAAAAGACCACAAACCAACTAATATACGTCTATGAAAGTGCCGTTAGTTTGTTCATTTTTATGCCAATCACCGATTAATTTTCCTCACTTTATTACTATCTCCAACTACTCCATTAACATACAAAGACCTCGAGAATCTGTAGGTAAAAAGCAAAATTTGGTACAGAAAAACAAATGTTAGGGTTTCTTAATCCCACAAAAGCCAAGTCAGTAACTACAACTAAAGAGTAACAAAAAGCCAGCCGAGTTACAAAAAAATTAAAACAGCAATGGACGTCACCTGCAGTGACATGTTCCTGTTAGAATCAAGTCAAGCTAAACTGAGCTGATTTAGAGAGAAGAGCAAATTCTGCCAAAAAAATTCACACAAACATCTCAGATTCTGACTGCAAATAAGATTAGCCTTTCTAAGATTATTCCCAATGGAAGGAGAACAAGACCAAGTAAAATGCTTAGGAGAAAAAAAGAAGTTAGTAAACAGAAGCAGAAAAACCCAGAGACCTTTAACATCATTTTCCACCTGCTCGAACTACCAGCAATTAGAGGAAAATAAATTTCTCTCAGCTTTGAGATTTCATGTGGGGAAAAAAAAACATGCCATCAATAATTAATGAAGTCTGCCAGAAAAAACATTCAATCTTATCTAAAAAAAATAAAAAAAATAAAATAAAAAAAAAAGTATCACGCTGACCGGGCAAGGCTTGGAAAACTAATGGCAAATAAAGGAAAAGAAGATGTAAAAACAGTGATCTTGACATTATATAAAGACAAATCATTCCAATAACACAAGCTTCAGTTTTAAATTACGAGTACAGTACTTCTTGTTTAAGTTGTGGTGATCATACTCAAGAGTGAATAAAGAGTTTTACTAGATGTAAACAGTGAACCAAAGATAAGCAGGAACACCATGTTTTCTGTTTATGGATAGCACAGAGATCATCAAAACTTGATGCAGCTTCAGACCAGCTTGATTTCTGAAATTATCACCATTTAATCCTTATGCCATTTTAAGTGATATGCAGGTTGAGCAGCTTAAATGATTGGTTATATATATATATATATATATATATAAAATTTACATCACAATCTTTGTGCAAAAGTATCAGCAGCAAGTCTAATTTCAGTGTTAATTACCAGAGGAAGTTAGGAAACAATGTTAAAAGCAATTACAGTATGTTAAAAACTTTGCTGCTCAAAAATGTCCCATGAACAGGCAAACCAAAAGGAAAAGATTACAGTGTCGTCGTGATACTTTCAAAGGTTGCAGCCACAGAACTGAAGCCACTTGCTTCCTGTGTTTTCATACGTGAATGAATTCATACTCGCAAAAGAGGTTCCTCTTTGACAAACTCTGCAGTGGCAAGCCAACCCATGACTGAATTTAGTGAAACAAGAACAAGTGAGAGTACAGGAGGTGTTAACATCTCTGGCGTTTACGTTTCTCACCCAAAAGATTCACACAGTACAACAGAGAAACTTGGTACACATGCAAAGAAAGTCTAGATAGAAATAAAGTACATACTTCACAGCAATGAAAAAAGTAGGCAATAAGTAATAATGTTTTTCTTAGTCATAAAATATACTAATCTAGAACCACTGGAGTATCGTGTTGTTTAGCTTAAGGGCAGTTTGAGGGAATAAAACATTCAGTAAACCTGACATGCTGAAAGCAAACACAGTAAAAAGGTGTGTTGCTAACGGGATGAGATTGTTCAGACCTAGAATCAGTGGACTGAACTTTTATGCAGCGGCAGACCTGCCAAGCACAATTAACACCATGTGACCCAGTCAGAGAGAAAGCTCGGCCTAATGTCAAAGCTGAAATGCAATGAGACAGGCTGAACAGTCACGCCTCAGTCCAGGACATTCCCATTCCCAGCTAATTAAGCTCTGGCAGATGGCATCACCTGCTCCAGGGCATGGTAGGAATTTGCCCTTATCACATGATTTAATTCTTCATTAATAAACACATAGCTTGTAAACTTAATTTTCAGAGTAAAATAAAGTGTTTGCATACTAGGTGGCCTAAACTTTTAGCTGACTAGTCATGTAAATACCACTAGTCATACAAATACCTGCACCAAATGTCAATTTATTTTTTACTTATTTAGCACATTTTAAGTTTGCTAGGTTTTATGATGTGTTGCACACATCTAGTATGCAAGGTGCTTCTGATGGGAGAAACTTGGGACTATCTTGTCCTGAGACCTGTCAACACATGGTGTATGGACTGACATCATTAGAGAGGAAACAAATATGTGGCTTCTCCATCAGTAGCTCAAAAACAAGCAAAGATGGCAAAATTATTAAACACTGATGTACTAGAGAAGGTGACATTTGTGTTGACAATGTCCATTTTATCTGTAACGAATGTGAAAAGCAACTAATTATTAATGTTATTTAAAAAAGGCTGTTTCTTATAGACCAAATAAACTGAAAACAGCCAAAATCATGCTAATTCTCCAATTCATTTTGGTGTTACAGTTGTTTTCAGGCAATATAATCCGCGTTTTGTGCCGTAAAAATATGCAAGCGACTTTCCCATCGTGTTACTGTACATATTCAAGCAAGATAAGTACATTTTACCTGCTAGGTGTGTGTAAGACGGCAGAACTTCTCATGGAAGCTAACGTTAGCCGCGTTAGCAATCACCTGTTGAGCTGCTTCTTCAAAAAAAAAAAAAAGTCTGGCAGCATCAGTGGCAGATAACCAAAACGACACAAAGTCGAAGCTATATTCTGTGAAATCTGCTTATAGTTTCACACGCAGCATTTTGCGTTCACTGTGAGCTTACTAAAGCTATCTGCTAACCCAGCTAATGTTTTTTCTTCAAATAAAGGCGCAGCTAAGGCACTAGCGTCACGACGCTAACAGCTAGCCAGCAGACAAACAGCGAGCTAGTTTAGGCTAGTTCAAAACAAATAAAGTGCCCAAAAACAGTTCGAAAGTACATTAATTTCGTCGAAATAGCGTTTCATATGAGACATAATACAACGAGAATAAGAGAAATCTTTTAAAAGTGCTGGTGTGGATTAGCCATTAGCCTGTTCTGAAGCGGCAGGATGGGCAGAAGTCCGCTGTGGAACAACGGGACAACATCCACCTGATCCCGCTGCGGCAGCTGCTCCTTACTCGAGTCCGTCTGAACCCGCCGCTTCCGAAAACAAGCCTGAACCGTTACACATCTTAATAACTCACATTCCCCGAAGAGATCCAGTAGTAATAAGTATCCCACATGATTTAGTCGAGTTTTGTGTGATCCGCTAT